CCCCACACTCCCCACCACCACCCCATCTCCACCACCCCACAACCCACGCCCCAGCAGCCCCTGGCAGGTCTTACTTCTGTCTGGCTGAGAAGGGAGAGGCCAGCTGGCCTTCTGGAGGAAGTGACATAGCTACCTCCTGACCCTTCTCTCAGCTGCAGCCGCAGCCAGGGAGGACCGTGAGTCCGGGGAGCCCCCACCTCAAAAAGGCCCCAGCTGCTAGGCTGGGGGTCAGGGCTCCAGCATGACCCACCAGCACAGGTCATAGAGTCCTGGAATGTTCCATCGCATGGGGTTCTGGGAAGGGGCCAGCCCAGAGAAGGGGGAGCAGCTCTGCTCTCCCACTCCCACTCAGGCCTCCCAGGACAGCAGGTGGGGCCAGAGTGGCTATGACACCTGGGTGAGGTGGAAAACTGCCCTCCCCACTCCTACGCATAACCTCCCTCCTTTCCTCAGAGTGAGGAACGTCTGACTTCAAATCCCACCACTTGCCAGCTGTGTGATCTTGGGCAAGTTACTTAACCTCTCTGGACCTCCGTTTCCATATCTGGGAAATGGAGATTATAATAGTACTGACTTCACACCATGATCATGAAGTTGAAATGAAATAATACGCACTGAGTACTTGGCACACTGTTCACCCAGACAAGTGAGCAATAAGTGTCAGCTATAATTGTTGTATAATTGTCATCATAAAATCACTCAATAAACGTGTGCCCAGTGCCAAGCCCTGTTAATGGCATTAGAGACACAGGGCTAAATCTGGAGCCAGAGAATAAACAGGTAAATCGATATATGAACAAGACTGTCAGATGGGCCAGATACAGAACATCAGGTGCAGAAACCTGCATACAGAAATGCACCGGAACCCCGGATACCCAGCAAGGGGTAAACTGAGAAAACAAGAACCTCGCCCCCAGGGTAACCTATCCTCCCCCAGCATATCCCTGGTCATGCAGTCTAGACCCGAGCGGTTCCTCTCTAAAGACAACATCTAGGCCTCAGTTGTATTTCAGCTCCAAGCCTAGAAAAGCAGAGAAACCAGACAAGTGGGGCCCTGGCTGCCTCAGGACCAGCTCTGTTGACTAATGACCCCCTGCCCTGGTGCCGGCCAATCACTGGAGACCACGACCCTGAAGGGGCACACCTGGAAAGCTGATGAATATTCTATTGGACCCTCCCCGGAGAGCGCCCCTATGATTTCCACCTGCAAGAGAGAGATAAATAGGCTCAGGACAAAGGACCCAGCATGTGCTCCCCAATGGGGGGAGCATGCCAGCACCGTCTCCATCCCTCTGAGGGGGCATGAGACTTGCAACCAGGGGAGCAATGGGCTCACCCCCTGAACCTGCCCCCAAGGTCCCCCTTCCTTCTATGAGTTCTCAGGGAGCCAGAGCAGCCCAGCCTAGGCTCTCCTGCTGATGCTTCTATGCTCTTCCCTGTTACACCGTCCCAAATATATTTTCACTGACACCATGGACCCAGTACCCTTTGGCTCGGTGCTGTGTAGCCCTTCTCTTTGTATATTCCCAACCCCTTTTAATAAATTTTTCTTTTTTCACCGGTCTGAGATGGCTATTTAGCCTGCCCATGTACCACCACGTTAACCTTTCAAAGATCATTGCAGATTTCTGAAAGGGCTGGTAAAAATGCACAGGAGATAAAAATAACAGGGTGGTGGTGCTTCCCTAATGTGGTACAGCTGGGCCCTGAACAGTAAGAGTCAACCATCTGAAAATAGAACGAGCCTCTTGCAAGTAGAGGGAAATGCCTGTGCAAAGGCCCTGAGGCTGACAAGGGCCCAGGTATGACTGAGGCCAACAAAAAGACTATGTGATGGATGCTGGGGACAGAGTGGGTAAGAGACAGGAGGCACAGTGGAAAGGAGGGCAGGGCCAGCTCAGGAAGTACTGGGCATCAGCATCACCACATGTCTTCCTTTCTTCATACCCATTTGTCTGTCTGTCTCCATTCCCCTTGCCATGATTACCTCCCCCTAGGTTAATGAAGCCGGCCCAAACTGGGGCCCCCTTCTCTCTCCACCCCTGCCCTCTCAACTCCCCCAATACACTCAGTTCCTCAGAGATGCCAACAGAAGCTCATGACTTTGTGGGGTAAGCAACCTGAGGTCAGCACTAGGTCCCCTCTAGGTCCCTAGGGCCCAGTGCTGGAGCTGCCACAGAACAGGGTTTTGGACACAGTCCTGGGAATAGCCCAAAGACTCCTTACCCAGCATCAGACCCCAAAGCCCTGGCTGGCGTTTACCATGCACTTGATGTGTGCTCAGCCCCTTGCACAGTCTGCAGGTGGCAACATTCTTGCTTACCTGGCAGAGAAAGAAACTGAGGCACTGGAAGCACCCGTGACTTGGGGAGGGAGGGTGGGAAGTCCAGCCTGGGAGACCCAGGAACCTTAATCACCACCTCCCTGCTGGCCTCTCGGAGCTGAAGAGCAGCTGCGGCAGCTGGAGCAGGACTGGCCCAGGGCCATCGCCCCCCATGGGCCTGGTAGGGAGGGGGAGGAGGAGAGAATGGCCTCTGTGTAGGGGAGGCCTCAGTCAAGGTCAAAGTCCAGCTGTCAGGAAAACAGCTGGGGGAGGGGTTGGCCAGTCACCCAAGGGCCAGCTCTGGGGCCCTGTTGCTGCCCCCCAGCACACACAGATGGAGGGGAGTACAGCAACCCAGCCCCACCCACCAGCGTGGTCCAGGCTTCCCAGCGGGCAGCTGCTCTCCCAGCAACACTAGGGGCGGCCTCAGGGCCTCCCTGGAGGCGGCAGCCCCGCCCTCCGCGACTAGCCCCGCCCCCAACGCCCGCAGCAGGGAGGAGTTTGGAAACAGGTGCGGGAAGCTCAGGCGGGCAGGAGGCTCCAGGCCACACCTGGGACCGGCCTCTGGCCTACAGCAAACTCAGGCCAAATATCACGCCCAAGGCATGTCACAGTTGCTGCACTGTGCACGCATGTGTCTGTGAACATGTGCGTATATGTGTGTCTGTGTGTGTGACTCTGCACGTGGGTGGTGTGTGTGTATGCACAGGTATGTGTGCTCACACATGACTCTGGAGCCATCTGCGCATCTGAACACATGCATACAAGTGTGCATGTGCTGGCTTGTGGCCCAGGCTTGTCGCTGCCAGTGTGCACACCAGTGGGCTAGGTGGGCCGCACCCTGCCCCCAAGCACACCGGGTGCCCACACTGGCACCAGAAGACCTTGAAGAATGTTGCCTCCTGTTCAAATGAGAGTTACTGGGCACCCACCATGTACAGGAATGGAACTCGGGACAGCAACATTCCTGCCCTCAGGTAGCTTATGTGCAGGAAGGGGGGACCCACAACCACCAGGACTACGAGAACAGAGAATGGGCCGGCAGTGTTCTCAGCACTTCCCATCTCATTTCATCCCCATTTCACTGATGCGAAAACTGACGCACAAAGTATCAAGTAACCTGCCCGC